AGGCGCCGCGTTCGATCGTCGCCAGGACTGGGTGCGACGACAAAGGCGGATAGCCCAGGGACGAGCGTTGCACGTATTCGCCCGGGACCTTCGTCGACAACTGAACGAATGGGGCCTTTGGATACATGGATCGCCCCCCCTTTGGCCATTCGCCCATGTCGTCGCCGCCGACAGGACCCCGTGGCCGACATTCTGGGCCACTTCGCACTGCGCCTCGCGCCGCGCACCACGCGCGCGCTGAGGGAGTGGTTCGTGGGGCGCGAGGTCGCCCTCATGGAGAGCCGGCGGGGCGGCCTGCCCCAGGGCGCGCGCCACCGCGCCCTCGCTTCACTGGGCGTCCAGCGCGCTGAGACGTCTCCTGGATTGCCCGGGTACCAGGTGTCAGTCCTTGAGGTGCCGCCTCGCACGTTGGCCGAGCGCCGCGTGGTTCTCATGCGAGGCACGGCCTACGTGCCTGACGGGGAGACTAGCGCGTTGGCGTCGTACCGATTTGAAGCGCGACTGCGGCAAGCGCTGACATTGGCTGCACACGCCATGGAAGACTCATCGCGCAGGCCCCAGTTCGCTGGGTTGCAGCCATTGCTGGAGCGGCTGAGGGGGCGCGTCGAGCAAGTCATCACTGCTCCTTCGACAGCGGCCCTGCGGGCGGGGGCAGGCCCCGCCGGTGGCGGAGAGGCGCCTTCGGCCTGGCAGGACGTGCCTTTGGCGTTGCCCCTGCGGGCATCCATGGCCCATAGCGCACGGGCCCTCTGCCAGGGTGAAGGTCCTCCCGGTCAAGCTTTCTGGATGCCACATCCCCGATAGTAGCCTCGCCCCTAACGGTCAGGTCATATTTGTCAGCGCGCAACCTTCATTTAATCATGGTCTTTACCCAACCTGCAGATCCAGCACGGTAGACGACTCTTCTTCCTGGGGAAAGGTCCATGTCTTTCGTGGCGATGTCCATAGGGTCAATGGAGGTGCACGCGTCGTAATGGACGTCCGTGACAGTGGAGAGGGAGTCGGAGTAATCCGAGGCGTATCCTGCAGGAGCTGCTTTCAGGAGGTCTACCGCTGCGGCCATGCCCCCAGCTTTCTCATCTTCTTGTTGCTGGTCGTCTCCTTCTGGTTTGGGCGAAGCAGGCTTCACCGCATTGCAATCGTAATTGAATCTACTTTAATGATGGACAGGTGAAAGATCTTCCGCATCTTAACAGCTTGAGATATCGCTTGGGCTGTAGCTTGTTCGTAGTCGTCTTCCGTCAACTGCTCGTTGTATGGTGTTTTATTCGGATCGGTTCAGTAACCCCGACCATCGCTGTGAGACCAGACCCACGGTGTCTCGCGGAAGTTGGGGCCCCTTGATGGGCGTCTCATGGGGCAGCCGAGCCCGTGGCCGGCATGCTCGAAGCACGTGCAAACAACGCCTCTGTAAAGTTTCCGTTCCTCGATGATGGCCCTCTTGAGGTCGCGCTTTATAAGGGCTTCTTGTGCTTTGACAGCCCCTGCCCTCTTTGGGCGAACGACCTTGCCTTTTTCATTTTGGTCAACATTGCGAAGAGCATAACCCCATACCCACGATCATAATGCACCCCCCCCTTAAGTAGTTAGAGTTTTTTATCGCCGACCAGTGAGATTTGGTCGGGGGCGCGGGGGCGCGGAGGCCGAACTTCATTATCACTGGGAAAGTTCGCCATCGAGGTTACTTCCTTCTCATGCTTCTCGTGCTCTTCCTCCTTCTCATCATTATCACGTTTCTTTTCTTCTTTCTTTATCTCTCTCTTTCTATTTATTTTTCCTCTTGCCCCCCTGCCCCCCTGAACTTGTTTATCGCTGGGGTTGGTTATCCTTGGGGAACTAAGCGCGTGCGCTACCCTGCACGAGCAGATGAAAATATTTATTTTCATTAAGCGCTTACATAATAAATCTAATAAGTTTTGAACTTTGGATGTTTGCTTCTTCCTCTTCCTCTGCTTCCCCTGCTCTTCCTCCTTCTCATCCTTCTGCTCTTTCTTTTCTTTATTTCTCTCTCTCTCTCTCTCTCTCTCTCTCTCTCTTTTTCAAATTATTTTTCTTCTTGTCTCCCTGCCCCCTGAACTTGTTTATCGCTGCGGTTGATTATCCTGGGGGAACTAGGCAGAGCGAGCAGATGGAAACCTTAATTTCCAGTAAGCGCTTGCACATTAAATCTCATAAGTTTTGAACTTTGGATTTTCGCTTCTTCCTTCTCCGCTCCTCTCTCCTCCCCCTGCCCCCCTGCTCTTCTTCTTTTCCCATCTATATATATATATGTGTATGTCTATACATATATGCATGTTCTTTGGATTTCCTTCTCTCTCTCCCTGGCAGCTTGATCTCTCTTCATGCTGACTCTGGCGGGCAACTTTTATTACCCCCCCGAAAACCCCGAACTTTATTACCCCTGAGGGTTTATTATCGGGGGCATGGGGTTACCAATGACGAATGCGGGCCCTGTCCAACCCTCGTTCAACCAGTGTCGCACTGTATACGGGTCTATGCGCTGACGAGCCAACCCAGCATCCGAGTAGCCCACAAGGCGCTGTATTTCGTCTTCTGGATATTCTTCGTGAGGCCCCCCCCCATTGAAGCGGGCGCCCCCGCAAGCGCCCCCTCCTCGGGGGGGCGCCAGGTCTATTGTCCTTCCATGGAGGGTTCCTTGGCTTCCTCGCATCAGGGGGGCGAGGGCGCTGGAGGCCGCTAGAGCGAGCGCGCGCGGTCGGGCGAGCCGCTGCGGGCCCGACCGCGACGTGCCAGACGCGCGTCATCTTCCCATTCTTCGTCATCGTCGTCGGCGCGATACCTACGTCTCCAGGCCGGGCGGCTTGCCGATCGCTCCTGGCGGCTCATGGGGCGGTCCGAAGCTACGAATGTAGATTGAAGTCCTTCGCTGTGGCCGAGCTCGCACTGGGCGCCTTCAGACAGATCACCGGCATCTCGCGGGTTCCCCCGCAAAAAATCATTCTCACTCAATTCCATGTATGTCGGAATGCCAATAACCCGAGGAGCATCAATTCTATTTCCTCCCCTGTCGCAGGAATGGTGGCCTCTGAGTCCGCGGGTGCCACCGCTATTTCGCCATCTCCTTCGGCGGGTACGTGGAAGTTCTCGACAAATTCAATATCGGCAGGTTGCCCCGCGATGGGTATGCTCATCCAGTCTACAAGATCGATCTCATTGTGGCCAGTGAATATCTCCACCGCTCTGAGCCAGTAGTGTGGCGGTCTCTGTCGGTTGCGGATCGTCATCCCCGACGTTATTAGCAGAATGCCCTGCGTTTGCCTCAACATGGAAGGTCTCGGTTCGGTGGCCGTGACTGAAGATACCACCAATATTGCCAGGGGTTGTCTCAGCAATGTGAGCACATGACCTCATGCGTTCAAGTAGAGAGTCAAACTGTGGCTGGCCCCTCGGCATGCGGTGGTATAGTGGTTACAGGAGTTGTTGTGCACGTGACGTCCCCACTCCAAGGGCTCTGAATGAAATAACTGTTTGAATTTGGAAGTTGGGGATGTTAAAGCCTGCCGTTTCAGCTTCATAGCGGGCTATCTCGAAGCGCGCCAGGGTCTGGTCGATCCGTTCTCCCGCATTGGACTCGGAAGTCAATGAGAGCTGTACCAGAGTTGAGTTGGCGTTCCTCTTCTAGGTTCTCGAACTTCGTACGTACGAGGAACATGATGTCGGTGGCGCCACTGGTATAGCGGCCACCTATGTTAACGCCGAAATTGATAACTGCGGGGGGAACTCTCATGGCCATGGTCCGTGCGAGGCCCCCCAAGCTACGCTGCAAGGCTGCAGCTTGTTGGGAAGGCGTCATGTTGCCTGTGGTCACGTTGATCCAGGCATGCGCCTCGCGAGCGAATTCGCGGAAAGGTACTTGACCGGACGGGTCCCAATGGGGGCCGGTCGTTCTTGTGTCGTCTCCGCCACGCATATGTCCCACCGCACACCCGATAGCAACCCATGCGAGCCCAAAGATAGTAATACCAATCCAATGGCCTCGCAGGTTGTGGTCGGATGTGGTTGGTTGGGGGTTGCGGTATGTGGTCGTGAGCCTGCGTGGGGGTGGAGGCGGTGCAATGTCGTATCGCATGTTTCCATGCATTATGTCACCGAAAAAGTTTCCAATTGGAGTAGGTGGGTGGACTTTAGGAGTGCAGTAGCGCAGGGATGTAGGACACGAGTAAGAGGCCTCTGCGTAGGCAGAGGTATCACTGCAAGTGTCTTTGCGATGTTCCGTAGTTGTATACATTCCTCCGTGCAAACCCACTGCACCCTGACGTTCCACCACGTCAGCAGTCCACCACATAGCGCCGTGGATGGTGAGGAGTAGAGCAAGAGCTGACCACCATAGGCCAGCTCCGCTACCAAGTTTGACAGGGGTTGGGAGGCCCAACCAGCAGCTTCGCCTTAAGCGAAGCCCAGCTCCAGCTCTGTTATATCGTAGTAGCGACAATCCCAGCAGTAGGTCGTCGCGAGAGCGACGGGCCATCTCAAGCGAAGGATGTTTTCGGTCTCGATGGCGAATGGTACACCTCGCGCTGAGGTGTAATCAGATTTGGGCGGCCGGCCGTTTGAGCACAAACGGCCGCGGACACACGCTCGTTACCTCTCGCCTGTATCCCAACTCACTTTAGAGTTCGCGGCCACGAGCGGCTCGCTAACCCGGGTCAGCCAGAGGGGGTCTTCGCATGATCCTGCAGGATCCGGCGCTCTGGCTGACCCCCGTCTGCATTGACCCCCGTCTCAAGGCTCCCGAGATCCGCTGACACCCTCGACTCCGGCCCATTTGAGCGGCATGCATGGGCAAGCCCTGCGCAAAAGCAGTCGCGAGACAGCGCGGCGACCTCCCCCACGAAGCCAGTATACGGGGAAGATTCGTGTCGTGACGACGCCTGCGATGATCTATGACGCCGCATGCAGCACATTTTTCTCATGGTAGAAACAGAAACACCGTTTGCGCAAACGGTCCGCATTGCCCTCACCCCGCACGCATGTCAACATTAGAAGGTTGCCTCTGCAATCGAGAAGACGCCTGCACCGTTGTAACTCGGAGTCGCAGTCTCCCAAAGGGCAGCGCGGTGAACGCATGCCTTCGAAGGCATGGATGCCTCGGTGTGGTCATCCTCTCCTAGCAACCCTCCGACGGCAAACCCACCGCGCCCAAGGTGCTTGACGTAGAAATTCAAGTACAAGGTGCCCTTCTCAGTGCGCCCATGGGCGACTTTGAGTTCTACGCCCCCAAACTTTAACCACTGCGGATGCTCGTCGCGCGCACCCTCGGCTTGGAAATGGAGACCGTCGGTTCCCTTCGCCTCCACCCACGCACCTGTGATGTTCAGCTCGTGGAAATACATGTCTGCGCACTGCCCTCCAACTTGCCGCGCCTCAGCCTCCACGCGAAGCATTGCATTGGAACGCCTTCCACGGGGGATGTTAATCCGCCGACCCCTTGGTGTTCATCGGCGTGTGAGATGCTTCCACCTCCCCAAACCCCTCCCCCGGGAGCCGGATCCGGTCGATTTGGAGGGAGGGGGGTTCTACCAGGGCCGCCGTCGGCGGTGTGGCGTAAGCCCAATAATCAGAACATGCCTTCCTGGTTTCATCAAGTCGAACCGCTGGCCGAGAACGTTCTGAAGGTGGGGGTCGCCAGTGGCAGCCACGGCTGCGCCCGCTCCACCTGCCATCGGAGCTCCAGGAAGAAACGTCGGATGCGGCGTCGGCCAGCCCGGAGGATACGTCGGGCTGGGGGTCGGGCTGGGCGTCGGGAACGGCGTCGGGAAGCCGGTTGGGAAGAGAGTCGGGAAAGCTGTCGGAAACGGCGTCGGGAAGGCCGTCGGGAAGGGCGTCGGAAATGGCGTCGGGAAAGACGTCGGGAACGCCGTCGGGTAGGGCGTCGGAAATGGCGTCGGGAAAGACGTCGGGTAGGGCGTCGGGTAGGGCGTCGGAAACGGTGTCGGGTAGGGCGTCGGGTAGGGCGTCGGGTAGGGCGTCGGGTAGGGCGTCGGGTTCGGCGTCGGGTTCGGCGTCGGGTTCGGCGTCGGGTTTGGCGTCGGGTAGGGCGTCGGGTAGGGCGTCGGGTTTGGCGTCGGATTCGGCGTCGGGTTTGGCGTCGGGTAGGGCGTCGGGTAGGGCGTCGGGTAGGGCGTCGGGCTGGGCGTCGCGGTGGTCACTTTCAGGCTCGCGCCAGCATCGACGTAAAGACAGTGCCCGCCTCCCCATCCAACGTTGTAAGACAGCGCTACTTGACTGCCAGATGCCGAGGGCGCGGGCAATGTCCAGGTGAACGAAAACGCCGATCTGGAATGAGGTGCCACACCATAGTTATACGACTCCGACCCCACCACAACACGGATGTAGCCTTTGTAGCCCCCCCAGCCCTGGTCTCTCCAATAACCACTCATTTGGATCGTCGTGATTGGCTCGGTAATTGTCGCCGAGGTCCACCAACTATTCCAACCGCAAGTGCAGCAATGGCTGACTCCTCCAAGACTGTAAGTTTGGTAGCCAGCTGAACGCTGCGCGGGCATCCCGCTCACTTCCTGCACTTCATGCACCTCCTTCATACTGTCACTAGTGCGCGAAGCGTTGTGCGGGTCGATACCTCGATGGACGCCCTCGCTCACCATCATGGAAGCCGCGGTTGATACGCCCTGAACCAGTAGCGCCACGTACACGATCCATGGTGCACTCCTGGTCGCCGCCATCCCAACTGCCGGAGGTCCGAGTGAGAGGGAACTGCGCAGGTCCAGTCTCAAAGGATGGTGTGTGCACGCACGTGAAATAGCGACAACGGCTACGGTCTGACGCCGCATTGCATCACTCAACCTTGACGATCGCGGCTCTCCGATCGCCAGATCGCTTCATGCTGGCCGATGATGGGCAAGTGGCGGCGTTCAAGCTTGATCGCCCGTGCCGGGGGTGCCTCCGAGTCGCCTTGGCATGAAAGCGGGTCCTGAGTCCTGAATGATTGGCCTTCCCCCAGGACCAGCTCTCCGTCTTTTTTTTTGCCAAAAAATATATGAACAAAAAGCAGGAGGGCCCCTGTGAGCATGCCTGGGTGGCGGCATTCGAGCCCCAACCCCACCAACCATCGATGCTCCTAAATCGATGGGAGGCGGGGATAGTAGGGTTCGGATTTCACCACGTGCTTGACGAATTCCGAACCCTACCCCCGCCGCCCGTCGAGTTGCCTGAATCGTCGATCGGTACGGCTGCTCTCCGGGCGCAGAGCCCGCCTCTCTCCCTTGGCGGTTCTGCAGGGCCCAGGGAGGGCCCCGGGTGCCCCCAGACGACAGAGAAACCCCTCCAGCGCCATCTCTTGCCTCAGGACACCTCTGCGCGACCGAGGTTCGCGGAACAAGTACTGAAGGAGGCCCGTCTGACCACGGCGAGCCTCGACCACGAAGAAGCTCCCCGACCTGGATCCAAGAAGCTCCCCGATCCTGGATCCAAGCCGAAGCCGCCGAGGTTGTCGAACGCCGACCCGAGAAGATCGGCCTGGAGCTACGGAAGTCGTCTGCTTTTTGACCGGCCGGATCGAACTCGGCTGCGACGCAACCGAACCGACCGACCCCGCTGACACCCTCGACTCCGGCCCATTTGAACGGCATGGATGGGCAAGCCCTGCGCAAAAGCCCTCGCCAGACAGCGCGGCGACTTCCCCCACGAAGCCAGTATACGGGGAAGATTCGTGTCGTGACGACGCCTGCGTTGATCTATGACGCCGCATGCGGCACATTTTTCTCATGGTAGAAACAGAAACACCGTTTGCGCAAACGGTGCGCATTGCCCTCACCCCGCACGCATGCCAACATTAGAAGGTTGCCTCTGCAATCGAGAAGACGCCTGCACCGTTGAAGCTCGGAGTCGCAGCCTCCCAAAGGGCAGCGCGGTGAACGCGTGCCTTCGAAGGCATGGATGCCTCGGTGTGGTCATCCTCCCCTATAGCAACCCTCCGACGGCGAACCCACGGCGCCCAAGGTGCTTGACGTAGAAACTCAAGTACAAGGCGCCCTGCTCAGTGCGCCCATGGGCGACTTTGAGTTCTACGCCCACGATGGCCTCCAAGACGGCCCTGGAGCATTCCAAGGGGGCCCCAGGTCGGCTCAGAGAGGCCCCCCAAAGGGCTTCCGACGGCGTCGGACGGGCCAGGGGCCCACCAAGACGGCCGAAGATGGCCCTAAGATGGCCCAAGAGACTAAGAAAAAAAACAGAGACTGAAGATGACCGCGGGCTGGCCGGCAAGGCCGGCAGGGCCGGCAAGGCCGGCAAGGCCGGCAAGGCCGGCAGGGCCGGCATGTAAGGCCGGCAGGGCCGGTAATGCTAAGGCCGGCAGGGCCGGCAAGGCCGGCAGGGCCGGCAAGGCCGCAAGGCCGGCAGGGCCGGCCAGGCCGGCATGCAGGGCCGGCAGGGCCGGCAGGGCCGGCAGGGCCGGCAGGGCCGGCAAGGCCGGCAGAGCAAGAGCCGGCAGGGCCCTGCCGGCCCTGCCAGCCCTGCCGGCCCTGCCAGCCCTGCCGGCCCTGCCGGCCCTGCCGGCCCTGCCGGCCCTGCCTGCCCTGCCTGCCCTGCCGGCCCTGCCGGCCCTGCCGGCGATGCCAGTCCTCCTGCTGGCCCTGCCGGTTCTGCTGCAGCTCTGCTGGACCTGCCGGCTCTGCCAGCCCTGCCGGCCTTGCCGGGACTGCCGGCCTTGCTGGCCCTGCTGGCCCTGCCGGCCCTGCCAGCCCTGCCGGCTCTCTCCCCCCTGCCAGCCTTGCCGGCCTTGCCGGCTCTGCCAGCCTTGCCGTCCTTGTCGGCCCTGTCGGCTCCGCTGGCTTTGGCAGTTCTGACGGCTCTGCTTGGAGGACGGGGATGAGGAGGAGGAAGGGGTCTGAGCAGGAAGGGGGGAGGGGGAGGAGGATGCAGGGGGTAAGAGGCGGAGGAGGAGGAAGAAGATAAGGGAGGAGTCATGCTCCCATCCACGACGAGGAGGAGGCAAGGTTTTTGGAAGAAGGATGACAAGCAAAAGTGCGCGACCTTTTCCCAAAGGGCTGCCGAAATTACAATGGTGATTGGAATGTCGTGCTATGCGAAGTTGTGTTCTGCAGCGGTGGCGCGCGCCCATCTCTCGCGGCACGAAATTAATATGAAGACAGTATGTGACGACGATGCACCGGAGCGGTTTGCCATCACATGGACAAGTCATATTTACTAGCGTGGACCTCAAACGGTGAATTACCGCAGTCTGGATGTGTCATATACGAAGCGCAATCCAAGTGGTGCTAAAGTTTGCGGCATAGGTTGCGCCCGGAACGTCGCTCTGAACGCGGCGGAATTTCGTTGGACCCGTCGAAGAGGATGCGCCATAGGTTGCGCCAAAAGTTGCGTCTGGAAGGTGGCGGAACATCGCCGCACTCGTCGAATAGATCGTGCCATAGCTTGCGCCCAGAAGGTGGCGCAACCTTGCAGGATCCATCCAAATTCTTAGCAGCACAAGTAGGACTTCACTGAAGGCAAACACTGTTTGGCGAATGTAATTTGATGTGGGGTTCCGCGAGGTCTTCGGCTCTAACGCACAGTTGCGCTAGCGAGTCATACGCAATGCTGTAAACATATTGGCTCAAAGGAGACGGTTCTCATTTCGCGGCGTCCAACGAACCCACGTGTCCACATCCTTGCATTCATGGTGTCGCCTTTCAGGGTTACCGGCGTGGAAGAGTTGCGACGCTTGGTGCATGGGGGAGATGAGGCCCACAACGAGACTGCGCAGACATGCGAAACCTCGATGCCTTTACCCATGGGCCCTCAGCCGCCAGCGCGCCGGAAGGGTCGCAAGAGGATGGCAATTGCCAAGGAGTCTGCTTTGCCAGAGCGCCGGGGCAGGCACATGACTGGCGGTGCTTTGATGAAGGCGCCGCGGTTGCTACCGCGCCTGGGCAGGGTGAACGTCAGAGAACGCGCTGGCCATCAGATGTCGAACCCCTTGCTCGCCAGACTGCCTCGCTCCAAGCGCGCCATGAAGATGCTTGCGGTGGTCAAGGGGGGAGCCGCCAAAGTGATCAACCACCATTTCGGAACAAGATTGCTTCAAAATAAAGAACAAGATGCGATTCGCAATATGAGGCGATGCACGCCTGGCGTTGAGCGGGGCGGAGCCGGAGCAGCGCCTTCTGCACCTGTGCTGGACAGGTCGGCTAGCTGCGTCAAGTGGGCGGGGCTAGAAGTGCCGCTGGCGTTTCCTCCTGCCTGCATTTGCGGCTGCGCACGCTTTGCGCCGATATCACTTGGACGGTGCGGCCCTACAGCTGTTCTCGATGCCACCCGTGTCCATCTGGTTCTTCGGCAAGACGTCCGACGCTTGGGGTGTGGTAAGAAAAAGTACTGCGGTGATGAGGACGTCAGACGCCACTTCGAGGCCAATGGGGCATTCCCTGCCCGCGCCGCTGCCCAGACGAACTCCAGTGCAAGGAAAT